CACTCAATGCATCATTTGCAAGCATCACTTAGTCACAACACTATACATTCACATCATCCAACATCTCACCACTTCATCCCCCTCCTTTCATCACTCCACACTATAAAAACCACTTGCCACATCCACCACAATATGACAAATAGCAAAATCACTTCAACTCTACTACACACAAACAACACGCTTCATACTACTTAATTCAAAATACAACTACTTATTGCATTATTACTCACAACATCATATCTATCCACACATCTCTCAGTGTACGCACTGACATGTATATATGTGCACAATCATTGACTCACTCTCACTTACACAACAACACAACCATTACCACTAACAATAAATACCGTTACCAGTACCAGTAACAATAACAATAACAATACCAATACCAATAATAATACCACCAAAACCATGACCATGAACCCCAACACGATAGCGACTAGAACTGCTCAGTGTTGAATTGCACATAGAATCGTGCGCATATGTACCAACACGTATTTGTGAAGTGAAGTGTACAGTGTAGTTTGTGGGTGACATTGTGATTGTTGTGAATAGATTTAATTGATGTTAATGTTAATGTTGATGTATGAACCGGCGGATTGATAGAAGGACTGACGGACGTACTTGTGTCTGTTGAAGTTGAATCAATCTATTGATTGATGATGAAGACAACTGTGTTGTTTAATTAATGGGCCAATCCTCGAGGTAATGCAATACGAGGCCGACCCGTGGACGGGGTTGAGCAAGCTCACAGCACCCGTCCGGAGGTGAAAAATACAGGTAATTTCATTGGTCTCAGTTTAGAGACCGTTGCAGAAATTACACTGCAAAGAACAGATACTACACATGATCTTAGCTCAGAGAGCCGAGAAGCGATAAGCATGCACCGATCAAACACCATACCAATCCATCACTCGCATACATTGCACTCAATGCATCATTTGCAAGCATCACTTAGTCACAACACTATACATTCACATCATCCAACATCTCACCACTTCATCCCCCTCCTTTCATCACTCCACACTATAAAAACCACTTGCCACATCCACCACAATATGACAAATAGCAAAATCACTTCAACTCTACTACACACAAACAACACGCTTCATACTACTTAATTCAAAATACAACTACTTATTGCATTATTACTCACAACATCATATCTATCCACACATCTCTCAGTGTACGCACTGACATGTATATATGTGCACAATCATTGACTCACTCTCACTTACACAACAACACAACCATTACCACTAACAATAAATACCGTTACCAGTACCAGTAACAATAACAATAACAATACCAATACCAATAATAATACCACCAAAACCATGACCATGAACCCCAACACGATAGCGACTAGAACTGCTCAGTGTTGAATTGCACATAGAATCGTGCGCATATGTACCAACACGTATTTGTGAAGTGAAGTGTACAGTGTAGTTTGTGGGTGACATTGTGATTGTTGTGAATAGATTTAATTGATGTTAATGTTAATGTTGATGTATGAACCGGCGGATTGATAGAAGGACTGACGGACGTACTTGTGTCTGTTGAAGTTGAATCAATCTATTGATTGATGATGAAGACAACTGTGTTGTTTAATTAATGGGCCAATCCTCGAGGTAATGCAATACGAGGCCGACCCGTGGACGGGGTTGAGCAAGCTCACAGCACCCGTCCGGAGGTGAAAAATACAGGTAATTTCATTGGTCTCAGTTTAGAGACCGTTGCAGAAATTACACTGCAAAGAACAGATACTACACATGATCTTAGCTCAGAGAGCCGAGAAGCGATAAGCATGCACCGATCAAACACCATACCAATCCATCACTCGCATACATTGCACTCAATGCATCATTTGCAAGCATCACTTAGTCACAACACTATACATTCACATCATCCAACATCTCACCACTTCATCCCCCTCCTTTCATCACTCCACACTATAAAAACCACTTGCCACATCCACCACAATATGACAAATAGCAAAATCACTTCAACTCTACTACACACAAACAACACGCTTCATACTACTTAATTCAAAATACAACTACTTATTGCATTATTACTCACAACATCATATCTATCCACACATCTCTCAGTGTACGCACTGACATGTATATATGTGCACAATCATTGACTCACTCTCACTTACACAACAACACAACCATTACCACTAACAATAAATACCGTTACCAGTACCAGTAACAATAACAATAACAATACCAATACCAATAATAATACCACCAAAACCATGACCATGAACCCCAACACGATAGCGACTAGAACTGCTCAGTGTTGAATTGCACATAGAATCGTGCGCATATGTACCAACACGTATTTGTGAAGTGAAGTGTACAGTGTAGTTTGTGGGTGACATTGTGATTGTTGTGAATAGATTTAATTGATGTTAATGTTAATGTTGATGTATGAACCGGCGGATTGATAGAAGGACTGACGGACGTACTTGTGTCTGTTGAAGTTGAATCAATCTATTGATTGATGATGAAGACAACTGTGTTGTTTAATTAATGGGCCAATCCTCGAGGTAATGCAATACGAGGCCGACCCGTGGACGGGGTTGAGCAAGCTCACAGCACCCGTCCGGAGGTGAAAAATACAGGTAATTTCATTGGTCTCAGTTTAGAGACCGTTGCAGAAATTACACTGCAAAGAACAGATACTACACATGATCTTAGCTCAGAGAGCCGAGAAGCGATAAGCATGCACCGATCAAACACCATACCAATCCATCACTCGCATACATTGCACTCAATGCATCATTTGCAAGCATCACTTAGTCACAACACTATACATTCACATCATCCAACATCTCACCACTTCATCCCCCTCCTTTCATCACTCCACACTATAAAAACCACTTGCCACATCCACCACAATATGACAAATAGCAAAATCACTTCAACTCTACTACACACAAACAACACGCTTCATACTACTTAATTCAAAATACAACTACTTATTGCATTATTACTCACAACATCATATCTATCCACACATCTCTCAGTGTACGCACTGACATGTATATATGTGCACAATCATTGACTCACTCTCACTTACACAACAACACAACCATTACCACTAACAATAAATACCGTTACCAGTACCAGTAACAATAACAATAACAATACCAATACCAATAATAATACCACCAAAACCATGACCATGAACCCCAACACGATAGCGACTAGAACTGCTCAGTGTTGAATTGCACATAGAATCGTGCGCATATGTACCAACACGTATTTGTGAAGTGAAGTGTACAGTGTAGTTTGTGGGTGACATTGTGATTGTTGTGAATAGATTTAATTGATGTTAATGTTAATGTTGATGTATGAACCGGCGGATTGATAGAAGGACTGACGGACGTACTTGTGTCTGTTGAAGTTGAATCAATCTATTGATTGATGATGAAGACAACTGTGTTGTTTAATTAATGGGCCAATCCTCGAGGTAATGCAATACGAGGCCGACCCGTGGACGGGGTTGAGCAAGCTCACAGCACCCGTCCGGAGGTGAAAAATACAGGTAATTTCATTGGTCTCAGTTTAGAGACCGTTGCAGAAATTACACTGCAAAGAACAGATACTACACATGATCTTAGCTCAGAGAGCCGAGAAGCGATAAGCATGCACCGATCAAACACCATACCAATCCATCACTTGCATACATTGCACTCAATGCATCATTTGCAAGCATCACCTAGTCACAACACTATACATTCACATCATCCAACATCTCACCACTTCATCCCCCTCCTTTCATCACTCCACACTATAAAAACCACTTGCCACATCCACCACAATATGACAAATAGCAAAATCACTTCAACTCTACTACACACAAACAACACGCTTCATACTACTTAATTCAAAATACAACTACTTATTGCATTATTACTCACAACATCATATCTATCCACACATCTCTCAGTGTACGCACTGACATGTATATATGTGCACAATCATTGACTCACTCTCACTTACACAACAACACAACCATTACCACTAACAATAAATACCGTTACCAGTACCAGTAACAATAACAATAACAATACCAATACCAATAATAATACCACCAAAACCATGACCATGAACACCAACACCATAGCGATTACAACTGTTCAGTGTTCAATTGCACATAGAATCGTGCGCATATGTACCAACACGTATTTGTGAAGTGAAGTGTACAGTGTAGTTGGTGACATTGTGATTGTGGCGAATGGATTAAATTGATGTTGATGTTGACGTTGATGTATGAACCGGTAGATTGAGAGAAGGACTGACGGACGGACGGACGGACTTGTGTCTGTTGAAGTTGAATAGAATAGATTGATGATGAAGACAACTGTGTTGTTTGATTAATGGGCCAATCCTCGAGGTAATGCAATACGAGGCCGACCCGTGGACGGGGTTGAGCAAGCTCACAGCACCCGTCCGGAGGTGAAAAATACAGGTAATTTCATTGGTCTCAGTTTAGAGACCGTTGCAGAAATTACACTGCAAAGAACAGATACTACACATGATCTTAGCTCAGAGAGCCGAGAAGCGATAAGCATGCACCGATCAAACACCACATCAATGCATCACTCGCATACATTGCACTCACTGCATCATTTGCATGCATCACTCTGTCACAACACTATACATTCACATCATCCAACATCTCACCACTTCATCAACTTCCTTTCATCACTCCACACTATACAAACCACTTGCCACATCCACCTCAATTTGACAAATAGCAAAATCACTTCAACTCTACTACACACAAACAACACGCCTCATACTACTTAATTCAAAATACAACTACTTATTGCATTATTACTCACAACATCATATCTATGCACACGTCTCTCAGTATACGCGCTGACACGTATATATGTGCACAATCATTGACTCACTCTAACCAACACAACAACACAACCATTACCACTAACAATAAATACCGTTACCAGTACCAGTAACAATAACAATAACAATACCAATACCAATAATAATACCACCAAAACCATGACCATGAACCCCAACACGATAGCGACTAGAACTGCTCAGTGTTGAATTGCACATAGAATCGTGCGCATATGTACCAACACGTATTTGTGAAGTGAAGTGTACAGTGTAGTTTGTGGGTGACATTGTGATTGTTGTGAATAGATTTAATTGATGTTAATGTTAATGTTGATGTATGAACCGGCGGATTTTGAGAATCACTAATGCTAGACTTTTGTCCGTGTTATTTCCTTGATGAATCAATCATTTTGCTGATGCATTTTCATTTTGTTTACTTTTACTGCTTTTTCATTTTTATTTTTATCGATCATTCTTTTTTTTGACCTTTTTGTTGTCTCTTTTTTTCCTCGTCTGCTCTGTGTGATTTTTAATCTCGTTTTCCATTCGCTGAAATTTTCGTTAAATTTTATCAACCAATCATTTTTATGATAATCTAGTTTGACCTGGAATCTTTCAAGTTTACGTTTTTGTAAATAATTTTGTTTAGAACTTACAGTGTCTCTCTAGATTTCAGTTGTCTATCATATTTCATAGATTATCATGAAATACAAACAGATGCTGTCCAAACATATTAATCTTGAGACACCGCAGCACATGGACTTGATCTCTCTAAATCATACGACAAGCGACAGCAACAAACAGTCAGTGCAACTGGAATACAACGCAAACTCACTATTGAAACCTACCGAAATTCTAACTTTAAATCATCAATCACATCCTTCTGTTACTCGTGTTACGGAGTCTTTAGTTTTTGTAACAGAAAATAAATTAAATGAAGGTATTCGGGCTTTTACTACTCAGAATACCGAAACTAGTATTTTTCAATTGAATGCAAGTTCACAATCACCATCACATAATTCAAATATAACTAATAAATGTCAGATAAAATTAAACACTTTGTCAAATCCTTCTAAAATTAGAAAAAGTAAGTTACTAAATACTATCTTTATATAATTATTAAATGAGAATTTATAAAGTTTCTCCTCCATTAAGTCTATTACTATTCTATTTTTAAAAATTTTGACCCCCGTTCATTATTAAGGTAAATGTGTCTCGGTGTTTAATCAAAAGAGTTTGAAGATCCTAATAATAAGTATGTGATCTAAAATATAACTGACGATAATCACAATTGATTGATCACTGGGTGGTGATCAATGTCTATGTCAGGTCCATGGTTTCCTGTTGACTACCTCCAACTACCATCTAAATAACTGACGATAACTTGTTTTGAACTATGTTGATATAAGTCCATTCAATCATCTTTAATATGATGTATAATCATTCACTGAACTAAACCCATTTGATGTCATAGAGAATTGTACATATGTACTTGTTCGAAAGTATTCGATAATGTTATTATTAATTAATTGTTTATACAGGTTAATTTTCTAGCAATAGACGATATATGTTGCAATTTTTAATTTTTCGGTTTAACTCATCACCAACTTATTCAATGCATTAGGCTCAGTAGTAATTCGATATTCTTTTCGTTAAGAAATTTGAGAATTAAATGTAATCTCAACAAATGTTATTCGATACTATATAAATGAGTTTGGATTTAATAGTTTGTATTACATTTTCTAAAAACTACATTATAACAAGGGCTTACAGTTCCATTCGGTTTCGGTATTTTTATTGCTTTGCAATATTATTCCTTCAGCGTTTAACATAGAATATTGTCTACTAATTCTCTAATGTTTAAATAGTTAAACGTTTAATTTGTTCACTTCCTAATAATCATTATTAGAGTTGTCAAGTCTTGAGTGAGCTAAGTACATTCGAACAACAATAACGTCTGAGACAGTCCATATCAAGACAAAGAGAGGGAGCACTCTATTGACTCGTAGGTATCTGAAAGGTCTCCCGAAAACATGTATTCTAAATGACTTGATGTAGTGTGCATCAATAACAATGATCATTACTAATATAATTTCACAAGTACTTATGTGACACCATGGTTAGCTACGTAGACTGACTGACTGGAATGACTTGATGTAATAAAGCATCTTAGTTCGCGTCGTATTATTACAATTCACCTGCATTTATTTAACTAAAAATCCATAAAATTAAAGAAGCTGTCCATGATGTCACTTAACTACTTGTGTTATGATATTAGTAATTATCATGGTTATTGAATAACACGACATCATCCATATGTGCAGGTATTCAAAGTTCATCATACAATTTCTGTCATACTTTCCACAAGTTTCTTGAAATTCTGATCATTAGTGCGTAGGTTCGTACCTCTAGTTATCGGATTATCAGTCGTGGTAACTTAAAACATCTTAGCCTTAGAGTATGTCTATGTAAATCAATGCGTTAATGCTAAAACTATATATGACCTGCTTTTACCTATATATATATATATATATATAGGGAGAGAGGTATGGACACACACTTGCTGTGACCTTAATCATATTACTAGGTCAAAGGGCATCAGACTGACTAACTAAACTCAGTTCCACATACGTTTATATGTATACGGGTAGTGCACATAGAACAATACAATTTTTCTTTTTCAATCTGTGTTATTTAAAGAACATTATGAAATATTTTACTTTTAATAATTTGAAGAAACCCATAGACGGGGTAATAAAAACACAAAGAATTTTACTTTTTAATACAAAATTCGATTGGAAACGTGTCAACATTGGTCAGTGAGCGTGAGTATGCACATATACAAACATACAAGGGATTTAAAACGCGATAAATAAATTTTTATTTAATGTCTCCTTAGATCTGATTAAAACAACTTAGCTTTCGGAAGTTCAAAAATATGCAAAACAAAAACAGACCAAAAGTAATAGTTAGTGAACTCATGTACTCTTCCTCAATATACTACTTTATTATTATTATGGATTATTCAAAGTGTTACTTATTTATTTATTTATTTATTTCAACACATAGATATTGGTACAAAGAGGCACCAAATACATATGCGCCATACAAATCTCATTCGATATGTGTGTGGGCTGTGATACTGTCCGGGTGCCCAAACCGAAGCAGGTGGTTATCTTAGGGGGCCACATCCCGAGCCTTCGATCTAAAAGTCTGATCCACAAGGCAGTGGAGCATCGTAAGGAGATGCAGTCCCATGGAAGCCGGTGACCAACAATTGGTTCATACGCCATTTGTTCCCGCAGGATACTGGAGCCCATGTGCACCATTGGTTTGGAATCCGGTTAAAGCGCCGGACATTCGCTTTTCGTCCTCTCATTTTCGTAAACAACACCCCTGCCACGAGAAGGCAGTGAGTAGGACTTCCCTGGGAGAGGCTATATATGCATGGCCATGTGAGAGCATTTCGAAAGGAAGAGTGAACTCTCCCCACTCTCGGCCATACCAGGGCATCTGGGGGCATTCAAAGTTTATAAGTGTTTGTACATATAATCAATAGATCCATCTTCTGTGCAATTGATTAAAGAAAATTACTAAAATATTATTAAACTATACATGAAATTAGTTTATGCACATAGAGATTTAGATATAAATTAACTTCTAACTTAGTTTATATTTAAATTCCAAAGGCCTCTTCTTAAATCAATAATATATTAAAAGCAATCAGTCTATTTGCTTCATTTAGATAACTCAATAAGAAGACATAGTTTGTTATAGTTATAGTGTGCAAGTAATTGTAAACATTCATCATTAAATTAATTTGAAAATAGTATTCATCATAACGTCACATATGATAATAAACTATAAGGATGAAATTTAGTATTCCACTTCTCTAGCTGTAACCTAGAAAGAGATCAAAATATTACGAGCTTGATCTAATCTAGCAGTAATGAACGTATACTTTTGATAAACTGTTTAATCGTGCGAAACACCTACATAATGCTTTCTGGTTTTCAATTGTTCTCTATTTAATTTCAGTTCGTTATTAAAACTATACTCGAGGCGGAAAATCAATTTCTTAATTTGTAATTCAATTAGAAAAAGTTTTACATACCGTGTTCCAAATTAAATACAACCATGTTTTTATATTTTTCACATACCTATGGTGATCCTACAACAATTAGCATGTGATATTTTTAGTATTCAATGTCAGTACTCGAAATTTTGTATAAACTATATTCTAGTACTTCAGATTTTAAAGAAATAACGGTATAACTAGATTTCAGAGAAGTTGTCACACCTGTCAGTTACCGAATTCATCTAATTATGAATGTTTGACATTGTTAATAATAAACTAGTTTGACTTGGGTTCAGACATATTTCACTGACCCTACATCATGTTGTGATTGGCGTATATTAAACAATAATTTTTACTTGTTTTTAAATCTAATAAATATTAAAAGTATGCCGTTTAGTTTGATGATAGTCTGACAATCGCTGCCTTGACAACAAACATAATAATATTAAGTGTTATGATTATCGTCAGTCTACATCACAATATTTTAACCTCCAACTCTACATGATCAATTGAAATTCAAATAGCTTTCTAGCTCTCGTTAACTTATCTCAAAAGTTTAACCAGTACGTCTTGTACTAGTGAACGCAAAAGTTTATGTGTATTTGGAGAACCAGTGTCACTAAAATCAAGTAAACATGGGAAAAGTAAAACTTAATCAAAATTTTCTGCAAACTTCTTGGGCAGTTAGTTTCCTACTACACGAACCTCGCAACGAATTTTCTCATTTCATATTCATCTATTCTCATTTACTGTCGTCTAAAATGTAGCATCGAGTTATGCCCTGATTATTAAACATTGTTCTAGAGTTTTCTAGATATCAGCTACTTTTGGTAATGGGTCCAATTTTGATCACATTACCTGTTTATTTTTTAAAAAAGTAGAAGACCATGTAATGTGTATGCTAATTTAGTCAGTGAAATCTATTTAATGGTACGTTTTTTCTTTGAGAGTCATCAGCTAGATTTACTTGCACCACTATGTTGATTTTCACATTGAGACCTAAACCCAGTACCTTTAGCTCCAAACACCCAATACATTATGCACATAGCTATCAAGCTCAAACAGCTACTGGTTTTTGTAACGGAGATGAATGTTTTTTTAATTTTTTTTTCAGGGATTGGTTTGACCAATCTATCCTGGTACATGTGCATCCTGAGTTGTTCTAATTAGAAGGTTTACTTATTGTCTCATTGAACATACTGAACTTTATTCATTTAACCTTTTTTTAAAAACTTAGATTCTTGTATCTGATGTAGTCGGTTGCACAAAGAATAATAAAATGTCTGACCTTAATAAGATTTCTTCCTTTTTTTTTATGATTGCTTTTCCTAGACAAAAAGGTGAAGGTTATATTAGACTAAATAAATTATTCATCATTTTTTGTCTGAAATTTTAATAAATAAATTGAGTTCTTTTATGTATACTCAATCTTATTTGGACAAATGAATAAAACTTCTGTTTTATTATGACTCATTTAAATGATCGAATTAAATTTTACTAATTTCTATTGTATATTTTTTAGTTATATAATTGATTATTATATTGATTTATCGATTGGAATTAATTCATTATAATATGGTGATTGATTGATTTTAAATATTTTACAGTTTCCCTGTATGATTGAAGTATAAACATAAAAGCCGTTACTAGTGGAGTTCAACCAGGTCTGTTGTGAGATAGGAACTCACTGGAGACAATAGTGTACGGTAGCGCAACTTCATGGATTGGTTGAAGTTAGACATTAACACCGTTGGATGCCGGCTCAGTGGTCTAATGGTTAAGTGCTCGCGCGCGAAGCCAGTAGGTCCTGGGTTCGAGCTCCGCGTGGTGCGGGATCGTGGATGCGCACTACTGAGGAGTCCCATACTAGGACGAAACGGCCGTCCAGTGCTTATAGGTTTTCAATGGTGGTCTAGCTTCAAGTGACAGATTTTTAAAGATTACATACTTGAGAAATGATTGTTTTAGCTTTTTGTAATATTTGTAAAAAAAAAATAAAGTGTTTTACAGATTTCTAAAAATTTATCTTTGACCCGCTATATTTTGTGAATAAAATTGTATGCATAATTGACAATGTGATTAGCAGTTAGGGCGCATCATTTTTGTTCACTTATACTAAACTTGTTAATAAAAAAAAACCCGTTTAAAAGAGCATGGATTTCGATAGTATAAAAAAATGTAGTCATTATCTTTATAAGCTCTATACTCTGTCTATGAAGGTAGGAACCTGACTAATTATTCAAATCCTAATTTGAGTTCAGTCATGAAATTGTTATATCTAATAATCGTGGAAATAAGATGCACACAACAAATAACATTTACTCTTCTGACAAGTTGTTTTATAACTTTACCTTGGCTAATAGTAATAGTAATAGACATGTTAAGAATGTAAGTTATTGACTAGGTTAACTCTAACAACCTTTTCGTCACAGAGTATATTTGCTAGGTAAGGTATTATAGAACTTTGATACTTTTGCTTGCGTGCATGGATTTTAATGTAACTATGTCTCGTTCTACCAAAAGATATACAAGGAGAAAGATAAGAGTGAAGGGGATGGCTATTATCTGATAAAATAACACCTGCCAGGAGTTTGCATGATTTTAAAAGTCTATCCAGAACTATATTAATTATGACCTCGAAAGATTCACCACACATCGTGTAAACTGCCTTTAGCACTCTTCGCAATACAGCAAAGTCTTTCCTCAAAAGCCCGGGAAAGAATAATGGAGAACAGTAAAGAATAACAGGTAATATGCAAGAATTGACAAATTGTACACGTACATAGTCTTGTAGACATTAGTTAATCAAGAGTTCAATGTAATACATATCATATGATCTATGTACATTTTAATATATATATATATATGGCTAATTATTTTTCGTTTACTATAGGAGAACCTTACATCCCAAGTTATATGGATCCTTTAGCTGGCCCTGAACCTTGTGTTGTTTGTGGTGATAATGCAACTGGATTTCACTATCGTGCTATGACATGTGAAGGTTGCAAAGGATTTTTTCGACGTTCAGTACAGAAAAAATTGATTTATACTTGCAAATTTCAAGGTCACTGCTCTGTATCTGATAAACAAAATCGAAATAGTTGTCAAAAATGTCGCTTTGATAGATGCATTAGCGGGGGGATGGCTAAAGATCGTAAGTAACATTTAGATGTACCTATATCTTCTTATCTCCAACTAATTGTATGTAATTATTATTGTTATTGTTTTGTCATACTAATAATTCACAAGGGAAATTCGCTTGATAAAAAATTCATTCATAATTTACTATATCACACAAAATTAACTAACTTGAATGGTAATTTTTCTATGTTAATCTATAAGCCATAGGTCAATTTTTATTTTTCATAAGTTTCAACCTATTTTCATATTTCATGCGTCTACAATATGAAAATCAGGCGTGTTTTATCTGAGGTCATATCATTATAATTAATCGATGGTAGTTTATACTAATGTATAGATGTATACAAGGTCACTATCATCATATATATGACCAAGTGAATTCTGGCTTTCATATGTGTATACTTAACTGTGCGTCAATTAACTATTAACAATAACCATAATCTTGTCTTTTTCGTAGAGATGAAATGCATTTTTGAATAAAAAGTTGGGTGAATTCATCCACAGAATTATTTAATTTGAGCATTATCTGGAGGGACTATTTATTATAATACAGTGCACACAGCTTCAATGTTTAATATTCTCATGATTAAATGATGATGTAACTGAATACAAGTTCACATTTGATTTGGGGATAATTTACATTGCATTAAAATAACTTAAGATCTGATGAAAGCAATGAAAATGTTGGAGGGAATTATGTTTTGTTAATTAGCATGAACATTCACTCAAAGGCTAGAATTCCACAGTACTTTTAGTGGCCTAGTATCTGACTCCGGGTTAATCGTTTTTAAGTGTTATCAAATAATTACTGTCGAAATATATATCGCGACTATTCTCGTATATGATCATCGACGTAACTCGTATTGGTGAACAAAAGAATTAAATAAGTCAAATACGAGAATGAATGTTGAATACGTATATTTCATACAATCGTTGTTTCAGACGAAATATAGAAGAAGCGAAGAGAGCGGAGATGTACAGTCCCATCCAATCGATGGTTCAACAACAATCTTCAGTGTTGCAACTTGTTCGGTACATGATTGACACATTCTGAGGCCAGCTTAGTAGTCCCGAATTTGGACGTCAACTGAATTTCCCGTTGAGTTTGGCAGGATTGTCAAAAACCTTACCCAGTACTGACAGTAGTGTGATCCCACTGTGTTTCTCGTACTTACTATGATCTCCATTATTCGGTATTTTGGTGGGGATCACGCTTTCCAGTCTCTTGATCGTTATGTTTGCTCTCAGACCTTTCTGAATAGTGCTTAGAACATCTTTGTTGTTGCTTCTCCGCCTGTCTGGGTCCGCTACTTTGACGTTCTTGATATATCCAATGACGTTGCTAGGACGCTTTTTGTGTTGCTTCGACGTCTAATGGGTCCAGTTAGGTTAATTTATTCAAAAGCTCTTCTTAATACCCTACCAATCTGCTTCGTTATTTCTAAATCTCTGTGATTGTTTTGTCATGTTTGTTCTTGAGTGGTCGTTCTGGTTTTCGATATTTTTCATGTTAGTTTCAGCGTTGTATGGCATGGTTTTCCTAAAGTTCCGTCTCGTGCAACTTTTCTCAATGTCATTGCTAGATCTTCCAAGAATTTCCACCTATCAGCACTAATGCATCTCTTCACTCGTTTGCTTACTTCTGTGTTTACCTCCTCTATTCCTGTTCGGCTTTTTTGGTTACTGTCTTTTTATCCTTCTTTTCTTGGACCTTACCCACGGCATCAGTAAATATCTTTTCCTTATGCTGGTGCTTCTTGAGGTCTAGCAATTACCGAGACTACGTAACATATTACTAAGGTCACTGTTCTCGTCACATGATCAACGTACCATCCATATATCTCTTATAGAAGTGAAATATGCCGACTGTTTGGCAAAACTATAGGGTTCTTCAGATTTGTCTGAAAACAGTGTGCCAGAAGAGCACTCGATGACGATCATAATGAGGCACCACCGATTTACTTATGGAAATCTTCATCAAATCCAAACTGCATTTCGAAATTTCAGTACAGTGCAGGTATAATCCTTTTGTTTAGTGCTTTGGGACGCTGATACCGATTTCGTTATGACCAGCGAGACATTTATGAATAGAGAAGTGATGTCTAGTGATATCAACTTCTTTCTCGATATAATGAAGTCGGTTACTGAATTGACGAAATTAAAGGAGTCAGAAGTACTATGTCTCCAGATCTGGCTTATGACAGGTTGTAAAATTTCCACCAAATGTTTGGCAGTTGCGCGGTATGGACAGTTATATATATCTATCGTAGGACGAAGATCTTTTTCATATACCTTTGAGAGTTCATATAACCACGGGATAAAACAAGCCGTTGATCTTAGGTATTTGAATAGATCCTCGTTAATAATTGACTCATTTTTCAATACTTGCATCATTTTAGTCAACTTCTGGTTATTTTGTTCGGAAAAGAAAATTTTCTACATTGAAATATCTTTATGTTTTTAACAAGTCAGTTGATTTATTTACTTTTTTTGAATACAGAACTATTGACCGTAAGAACGGCCCTGGTAAGGGCAGAAGCTAGACATGCTTCTTTTAAATGTAGTACTGGAATGCTTAATGCTTCTCCAGTATAAGGAAGTATGGACCCGAGGGATTTTGATAGATTAGTACAAACACAACCAGTTACTGAAAGCGGCCGATTAATGTCGACTTTACAAACAATCTGAACTGAGGTCAATCCGTCAGTCATCTTACATTTTTTCCTTGACACGAGCAAGTAAATGTAAGTTCCCATGGTTGACCAGTGTAACTAGCTCCATGAGAGTTCATATGAGGATAACTACAAAATGAAGTGACCAGTTTGCACAATTCATTTTCTAATATCAGTACCATCCTCGTACAAATGGAAAATATTAGTTGTATCTTTCCATTACTGAATTTCTTTACACTATTCCCACTAACTTTTTCCATGAATACCCAATACATATTGTCTTTACGAAATGAACTAATTTACCATTTACCTATAGCATTTGTATGAATATTGACGTTTACTAACCTATACTATTCATTAACTAATTTGTATTATCGCTGTAAAGCAAAGTCACTGAACTAATTCTGTTACATTATGAGTAATATTATTCAGTAGAATATTGATAGGTTAACGGTTCGTGTACAACTTAATAAAAGGTTTTATATAACTTCGACTTCAAATTTTACGATTGCGATATAACACAAAGAAGTTGACCTGAAAGCAACAATTTTCAATGTTAATCAAATGTTTGTTGTCTTTTTTTTCATAAAAATTCTCTTCCAATAGTTGTACTTGATGAAGATAAACGTTTAGCTAAACGTCGTCTAATCGAAGCAAATCGAGCACGTAAAAGAGCTGAAGCTATAGAAGCCTCCACTGCCGTATGTGTTACAGATCCATCAATTAATATACCTAATTTTACAAATCCTAATTCAGTATCAAAATATCATTTCATTCACAATCAACCAATCTCTACATCGAACACCATCTCTAGTACACCTGTTATTATGTCAACGATTCCTTATCATTCTACAATCCATCCTAATACTTATTTTACTGATCAATTTGCGCTCAGTTCAACAACTGGAAGTCAGTTTAACTGTAATCCTATTCAAACACGTTTTTTGGAGGTAACCAACAATGATAGCCATTCATTTGTCAATCCAAAAACACCAGATGCAACATATTCACCTGCAAATGAAGCACAATTAATTGTACAACCTATTCAAACAATCGATAAATTACAACCATCTACTGTGCCCAACAACATATACTGGAATCCTATATGCGGAGCTCCGTATACACAGTGTTTCATGAATGATACTAGTAATCATGATAACAATAATTCTAAAATCCCACTTTCATTTAAAGAATCCATCAATGGAATTCACTTGTCAATGCAAATTAACAAAACTCGATTATATTCTGGTGAAGATGGTTACTGCAACTTACCAAGTAAATATAGTGATTTTAATAACCAACAAAGTGTGTATACCAAAGCTGTAGATAATAACCGAATTAATAATATCAATGTTAATAATGTCCAAACAAATACAGATTATGAGCCTCAACAGTATTCTCCTATAACACCTGAGAAATGTCAAACATTATCTTGTGATCAACCAGCGATCAAAGATAATTTATCGATTTCATATCCTAAGTATGTTAGTATGACGGATTCAAATGATACAGTGCATAATGACTGCCCATGGACAACAGAAGATCAAAATATGGTTGATTCTATCGTTCAAGCTTATAGTAATATGTTGAATCCAAGCTTCAAACGAAAGGTATTGTATTACCCATTAATTTTTGTACATATGATTTTGTGAGTTTTATCTACTGTGACTTTCTATTCCTGATAAATAGATAACTGGATAATTTTGGCACATTTTGATGTTCTAGCTCATACTTTGAGTATGCCTCCACAGTAGCGGTGGATGGACGCTTAACTTCTACTTCTTTATTTCGTGTTAGGCATTTACATAATGTCGTTGATCATCACTGCAATATGGCTCATAGACTAATGTAAAATAATTCACGGTTAGTTTCTAAGCAGTGTCATACTTTACATATCACCATGGTTGATAGATGATTGTTTCATTTAAAAAACTGTTAATTAAGTCGTGAGTTTAACATAATTTTTGTTGCTGTTGAACTATCCTTGCTCTTTACTGGATAAAACCCAACTCATGAAGTACTGAAGCATTGATTAAACGTTTTACTTTGGGGAAAAGTAGCTCATACGAACGGGTATGACATCTTATCACCTTAGTGATTTCAAAAGATATATATTTTTGATAGTATCTGAAGCTATAAACATAATAAAAACAGTCTTATGATAACTGGAGTGTTATATCTAGTCAATCATAGTTAACTTAGAATCCGACAGAAATTTATAACAAGACAATAAACAACAGTGGGGTTAATTTCATATGTCATAGAAGACTAAACGCAAGATATACAATGCAAACAGAGAGAATGAGAACAAAGAATGGAAAATCATAGATGACAATCAACTGTGAATTTACGAGGAGAAGGATGAGTAAATTCCGCCATTATGACGAATTTTGTTCCATACCACCTAACGCCAATAATTAGAAGTGTTGTGCAGACTCTAAGCAAGTCTTTATTTGTCGATTTGGTTAAAGTCAGCAATAGATCAATGTTCTTCCAATCAGCTCACTCTTTTTCTCAACCTTCTGCGACAGCCTGTTCTTTATGCCCAACCCTCGTATTTCTTGCAAATGCATGCTTCGAACACACTACTGGTCTAATCACGTCAGCCTTGAATAACATAAAAATGGATTTTTAAAGATAAATATTTCTATCAGTAAAGTCTGGTTGTATTTTGGTCATAAGGTTCATGTAGGAATTCGGGCTGTGGATAAACTCCACGTTGTCAAGCCATCTTAGTGTATCACGGTCAGTAATTATGGCTACGTTTTCATTTGTTTAGTCACTCGTAGATATTTTGGAATAATTTATATCATAGTGCTAACTGGATGTGTGACTTTTGCTGTATTGTTTCCCTTTCGTTATGACTTACTGCACTACAATTGACACCTCCGTAACATGATGGGGTGACATTTTCGTCGTCATGCAAACCAGCGAAAACTACAGAGACCAAAACATCCCAGCCATTGTGGACTATGATAAGGTAAATACTAATCCTCGCTTCATTTTGGTTGGTTGCCAGGCGAAAGGTCAAAATTGCGAGCGAAAGTGGAGTTTATTCTCGTTTGAAATTCGTTTAATTTGTTGATAGTATTTATCACAGATTGACATCAGTTAGACTACCAAAACAAAACTGATGTTTTATCCTATTGTGCTTTTAGTGATTGTCAAAAACCAATTTTCAGCTATTTCTATCATTGAAATTCGAACGAATCATATCGATTTTCGGTTTCTAAACTAATGAACAAATATAGTTTGTAATTTGTAAGAATTAAACCTATATATATTTCATAACTATAGTTAATTAAGTCATTATTGCATATTCTCAATAAATGTGTGTTTCGTTGCTTACTAACTGCAATGATATTAGTCTTTCTACTTGTTTAAATCTACATTTTTATTTCGCTCAAAATAGATTGACAATGGAGATGTTGACAAAGAACCTGATAAAGCTTTCTATTCTTCAACAGATTCAAAAATCACTTCACTTATTGAACCAATGATTGCATCACTTGTTGCATTCGCCAGATTAGTTCCTGGATTTGAATTGGTATGTGTGAAATATTACTGTTGATATGTATGCATATGTATAAATAATTTTGGGGAAAATGAAGTCAGTTAACTATTTTTAAATTTTATAGATTTGAGTTTTTGAATTGATTTTTATTCTCTTATGAACTAAGGGAATGACGAAAGTGTCTGTCAATGATTAAAACACTCGATTTCTAACGGCTATTAGTGGCAATAGTTTGAATCCGGCTTTGAACAATTAGGTTATATCACCGATCTTCGTACTAAAAAAGCCGAGTTTTGAAACTTGTATTCGATTATGGATTCGGATTATTGTATTCTAGTGAAATGTAAATATAGATTTAAATTTTAACAAACTTCACTATCACAGAACATCATTAGAAAATGTAACTAGAGCAAAATAAAATTTGTAAACCTGTTATTGTTAACAGTAGTAGACTAAGATAATTGTACTATACTTACTGGTGCTTTCGTAACATAACTTCTCCGGATATTCCTTATGCTTAGTTATATATTTCTTGTATTTATTCTAGTTAGATGCCAACGATCAAACACGTTTGTTACGTGGCTGCTGCTTAGATATTATCACTCTACGTGCTGCGTACTTATTAAGTCGCATTGCTGTCTCACTTGGAATTGTTGATTCTAATGGACATAACAAGCCACAATTTACAAGTTCATTAGATTCGGTCGATATTTTTGTGCAGAATCTTCCTTCACATCAACACAATGTTGCGTCTGCTATTCCAAATAATATTTACCCTCAATTAGGCACTTCTGATGTGAAATGTGCTCAGATGATTCGTGCGGTAGCATTGAAATTAGCTCGCCTTGAAATCGACCAAACAGAAGTTGCATTAATGACATCTATTTTATTAATGTCCCCAGGTATGTTAATGTTTAAGTACAACATTTTGTTTGTTAAGTCTTTTACTAACTCAGCTTTCCAATCGAACAATTCTGATTACATACAGTCTCATGCTCACTAGTGACTAACTCAACCATAAGAATTAGTGAACTATATGCAGAGATGAATGGCATTGGAATCCAGGTTGCGCTGTTTATACCTGCTTTTTAGAGTTGGTAGTCACCCCGAGACTTGAACCCAGTACCGTTCGCTTCAAAGGACATCGTGTTATCCACTTAGCTACTGAGTCTTGATAACCTCTGGTTTGTACAAAAAGAATTTTGATTCATTTTTATTGGTTGTTTGAACCTTCTCAATGATGTTTAGAACTTCATTTGGTCAGTCGCTATTACATCTGTGTATAATATGCAGGAGTTTAAAGCGAAAGGCACTAGGTTTAGGTTTCGGAGAGAACATCAACTTTGGGATGCTGATACATGCAGATGACGAGTTTTAAATAGGACTGGACGTAAGTTCTCGACTCCACTGCTAGTAACCACACATTCTGCTTATAACGCTTATGAGTTAATAGCAATATGGAGGCAATCTGCATAGGATGTATGTATGCCAAAGCAGACTTCTCAACTGCGGTCCTAAACATCTATGGGAAGATTCAAATAACCAATACAAATGGATTAATGAATTAGTTGTATGAACTGCAAGAGAATCTTAAGCTGTGGTAAAGTAGGGATCAAGGACTGACTAGTGTCCAGTGATTGTCTAGCTTTAGTCAGTTGGTGATGCAAACTAAAGAAATGGACGAGAAACAAAAGTACTGATTTCATTTCCCAGATACTTGGCTTTGGATCATACTCTAAATATGAAGGCCAGTGATGCTATCCGGTTATCTAAATCAATGTAAGAGGAGACGATTTCTAACCTATGACTTAATGGGTAGAAGTAAAACGCCCTAACCACTAAACCATTTTTACCAGTCACTTTTGCGATCGAATTTGTTACGTTCATGTATAAGTTTTTATACTTCTGCAATTCAAATATTTCCACTTTGCTATGAAAAGTAAATTGAGCGGATTTCGTTTTGCTCTTTAGAATTTATGGCTAAGTAGTTTAAAATTGTTCTCATCGGTCTGACTTGTTTAGCATATTTGCATCAATTGTATACGTCTAACCACTATGAGTTACAAAGGCAATTTTTTTTACTATGCGTAATATAACAAATACAGTGAAGTTTTCTGTTGTGAATTTTGGAATCTACATAGTGCGGTAATAATTATGACCTATGGATTATCAAGTAATATTTTGTAGGACTAGTTCTCCATGCAAACCCGATTGTTATCATCAAGATAGGAAATAAAATAATGACTGTCACACCTAAAGTACGTTTAAAAACCAAGTACATAGATCATGCCAGATGTTCAAATGTTTCGACTAACTCGACTCACTCCGTATATGGACGTTTAACCATAGCTACGGAATAAATTGTGCGTTTATATGAATAAATGATATATATATATATATATATATATATATATATATATATATATATATATATATATATATATATATATATATATATATATATATATATATATGGTTACATTGAAATTAACTAAACTTTGTCTATATTGGGTCGACCTCTAATGCTTTTTATATAAAGTTATATCTATTACTTAAAAAGTAGGTGAAATGTTTCAGTATACTAATTACCATAAACAGACTGCACTCACATGAAAGTTTACGAATACAAAATGAATGATCTAACTGCTTTCTTGGTTTCTTGTTCTGCCTTATATTTCGATGTCAGTTAGCAATAAATTTAACAAGAAAGCTGTATAAGTAATTAATAGCATCTGAAAAGGATCATCAACACATATAGTTTCAGGTCATCATCATTGACTTGGAGAATTATGCTTGTTTTATTGTCACTGTCTAAAATCTTCCCCTTATTACTTAGTTCTGATGTTAGTTGTGGCTTGTAAAGCAGCTATTTTAGATTATTTTTTAATTATTTTTTGAAATAAACTAATATTTTTCTCCTTTTCACAAGTAAATCATTATTCCTGCTAGCTATTCAGTCGGTGTAAACTAAATATGGTCACGGTTACTAACCTTAGTTCTTTATAGTGAATAATTTTCGTTTTAATTGCATAATACAAGAATTATAAGATATTCGACTAGTATTCTCTATTAGTTTAATCAATTGCTATCCGATTTCTCATTCGTTCTCATTTTCCACGCATTCATATTAAAGGTTTGTAGTAACAACAACTGATAATAAACATCCAAGTCTTTTTGTGTTCTATAGGAATTAACTAACTTTAAGATGATATATGCCCGGCTTTAAGACACACTTAGTGTATGAAAGCTATTTATAAAACTCGGTTACCCAAACCGGTATAAATGAAGAACGTTTTGAATTTACCCAAAGGTATAACCATTAGGTTATCGATTTACTGTAAAGCCTTATACCATAGAAGGTGTGGCGCATATATATCTGGTTCCCCCTTGTACCAATATTTATTTGTTCAAATAAATAAAATAAATAGTATACCATAGGATAATGTGTTATTTTGACCGATACTTATCTATCTATCGTTGTAAAGTTAGCTTTGTAATTGTCATTAAAGAAATATATGCTTTGCCTTTACTTGTCATCGACCATGTTTAGTAAATTAATTACTTTATTTTTTTTATTTTTATCTATAATACTGAAGATCGTTTTGGTTTAACCGACTGTGAAACTGTCGAACATACTCAGGATATTTTATTGGAGACATTCAATCGTTATGCTAATCGTATTCGAAAAATTCGTTCCAATCGAATGAATCATAATAACATGTCAAGTCGTTCAGTTAACATCAATGGAATTTCACAACAACAACAACAACAACAGTACTGGCCGAGGATTCTCATGGCTCTAACTGAACTGCGTTCAATCACATTGTGCAACCAAGGTTTATTTGTGGAAAAAACCTACGGCAATACAACTGAACAGTTGCCATGGTATTTTCATGAGTTATTCACCGGAGACTTTATACTTCAAGAGACTAATATTTATAGTTTTGAGAATGGCAATAATAATGACAATAATAATAATTTGTGTTGAATGTAAAGCGCCTAACCTTTTATGAAAATATCAAGGTATACCAGTATTGCTCATTGTTATTATTGTTATTATTATTATTATTAGACTTGTACGTGAATATGTAGATAAACAGTGAACTATGCTTATAATGTTTTTATTTTGTCTCATTTTCACTTGTGTCATGCTTTTCTCTGTGAGTTTTTTTTTCTTCATTTCTATGTTGTTACTTTGTTTCATTATTCCTAACTTACAATAGGCTTTATTTTGTTATCTGCATATTATTCAACATTTTCACTTCCTCTTTGTTGTGTTAATTACATAATATCATTTTATAAAAATGATATAACACCATTCTTTGATAATAATTAAGGAAACTTTTTTAATAATAACAGAATAGTAATATTTGTTTGTTAAGTTATTTTGATGGAAACAAAATTACTCTTCATTTCATTAACATACCATTGAAATTATATTGATTTTAGGAAAGAATAAGACGAAATTTGTAGAATGATTTAAAGTGTTGTGTATGTACTTCAATTCATTGGATCTAGAGTTTCACATTCATAAAAATCTTCGTCAAATACTTTTTTTGTTTTTTATAGATTAGTTCGGATTCTTTTTTTTTTCTTCTATTTTCTATCTACCTCTAAAGGATATTGATAATCAAAATTTTTATTTAAGTGTTAATACACAGTGAAATGTGTCATTTGGTCTTAGTATTACACTAGTGATTCATTTTATATTCTTAATTATTACTTTCGATTAAATGCATATTAATAACTATACTACTACTACTACTACTACGACTATTATTATTATTGTTATTGTTGATAGTAGTACCAATGAAGTAATGCCACTCATAACCATAAAATGTAACATATAATTTCCAGAATTTTTTTTCTTCAACTTAACACCTTTATGTCATCATGCTTTTTACCACTTATCATTATCGTCTCAGATATAATAGTGGTCTACTTACCTTTCTTTTTTCTTCTATAATAAACAATTTAAGAGTGATTCGTCCATCAGAGTAAACAATTTATTAAAATACTGTGTTGACATATTGATTCACATGCATTAGTTGCATACATGTTATTAACCTGACTTTTGTTTGACTTAATTTGTCAGTACATATTGTAGATATATGAAAACAACACAAGGATCCATATTCATGTGTACCATCCTTATTGATATCTGTATGACGTCTTATATCAAATGTGATTTTATTCCTTCTTTTTTTCGTTGATTGTTTTTATAGGAATACAAACAATCTTGATAAATGGTTAAAAATTATCAAGCATAAAAGGATCTTACTTTTAATTAGGCATTCTTTGTTTATGTGTGAGCGGTTTTTTAAAAAAAAATTTTCTTTGTATAAATGTGCATGCTCTTATATCTTACAGAAACAACTTGCTTTCATTCATCAAAATACTTTTCCCCATATCTGGTGTTAGGTGGTTGAAGGTGTTCGGCGGAAAACCCTGGAATTAGGTTTCGTGCCAGTTAGTGCTTGTCATCGAGGCACATCTGTATTATTAAAGGAGTTCATTCCCCTTATAGAATTCGAACCCCGACAACTCAGTTTTACAGTTTAAGGTCTTCCCATCGAGCTGTTTGGGATGTAACTGGCACGTATGCCCGAGTTGTGTACACCGATTAATTACTTGGTAGTACCCAATGTCATATTCATCTAGTCCTGAGGTCTGATCCAGGTTATTGATTATCATTTGGTGCATCCGACATGTTTTTCTCATTTTTATAAGAAATTTCATCAAGAACATGTGAATCATTAAGATAACCCATACCTAACAAAACAACTAGAGAATCCCGATAACTAGATTCGTCAGGAACTTTTATAGCAGAATGATGAGCTCCATTTGGTGCAGCTGTACTCATTATGCTGCTCGATTTATTTTCTGTTTCTTCATGGGCGGGTACTTCAACAATTTCAATAGTACTTAACAAGACCCCGTCTTTCTGTGAGCTGGACAAGTCACTGCTTGAACATTACGTTTCCGGGATAATGGGATTTGAACCCACTACAGGGCATGTCTCTGAAATGGACGTTTCTAGACCTCTGGGCAGATCACGAATGACTGCTACTGTTTCGTTTAAATTACTGCTTGTCAAGGATTCATGGAGGCTTTCATTGACACATTCATCCATTGTGCAATCATTTTCCAGCTCTGTACGCAATTTAGAAATAAATTCATTCACTACCGTCACATCTCCAAAACATAGATGATCCAGCAGCCGTGTGTGCAGTTTGTCTATCGATTCCAACTGACTATTCTTAAAACGCTGCTGTTGTTGCTGAAAATAACAACTGCAATTGATCGGAAGAGAGGGTCATTTTCTGTTTCTGTATGAATCAGCGCGGTAATAGAAAATACAGTATAACTAATGAACAACCAATGTCATTCTAGGAAACCGACAACAATTCTATATTCTGATTGTCTAAAATAATTACACCGATTTTCGACTAATTACTGGCTTACCTTGATCCTTTATTTAGAAGACTGAGGGTTCAGAATTTTTTCCATCCCGTCGCCAATTGGTATTTACTTGTGGGTTTGTGACCCTATCAATGTATGACGTAATGATACCGCCAATTAGGGAACAGTGATTTATCGACCGGATCAATGGCGCGTAAACATGTACAAACAGTTTAGAGTTCTTGTCGGTCCTTCTTCCTGCCTAACACTGCCTGTTAAATCCAGAACACCAATACCAGCCTCTGTGATATGAACCATGTATTTCAAACATACTGGGTTTATATACAAACCAAACAGACCACATTGCACCACAAAATAGAAAACAACGTTTGTATAAGATTTAGCCAAAAGTGGCTGTCAATGTTGGAGACCGTAATTAATACACTGGGTATAATTCAAGAACGGTAAATAGCATAATAATAGTCTATGGGTCAAAATAGAGCTTTTAATAAGGCGAACATGAATATGTATAATTTAGCTACTTAATAATTATACAATAAAAATATGTGTATCATATTGGTCCATAAGTAGTTCTCAAAAGTTACCATTCATTATTCTCATCGGGATATAACAATTTTTTCAAAGGTATCTGTGACTTTCTGGACTGATTATTTAACACTATACCAAAATGAACAGAATTAGTGATTAAGAGACCACTATTCTTTCGAGAAGAACAATATTTCCGTAAAAAGAATCAAACAAAAGAACACGACTAAAAGACATTTCGAACACAATTATATGTCGAATGTTATGTCAGGCAGTAGCTTAGTGATTAAAACACTTGATGTTTAGCGACCAATTTCTAACCATTTTCTATAATGATGGTGAATGGAATGATGTTAAAAGATTTGTAGGATGTTCTTTTATAGTTAACACTTCAACAAGATTTCTTTATAATTTATTTAGATTAAAATAATGTAAAAAGAAATATTAAATTTTAGACAATTTCAAAAGATTGACAAATTTTCAATTAAGTGATCTTTGTTTTATTTTAATCTGAGTGTAAAATGTCAGAAATCTGAATTTACTTTGGAACATTTCATGATCATTTGGTCTATCATCGAGTAATAACCGGTAACATGTTTATCTAGTCATTAGCGTTTATCCGCTTTTATTGATCAAATTGAATTATGGCCACTGTTCTAATTTCTCTAGAAGTATCAATCCATTGAAGATTGGAGATATATCTTGATCAATTTAGTTTATCAACATGAAACTTAAGTTCAGGGCTTTTCAGCATATTGTTGAAACTACCTAAATTCAAAATATAATGTACTAAGTGTTAATACTGACAACTTCATTTTGCTAATACTAAAAACCAAACAAACACTCCACTTGTTACTAGTCAGTGATCGATCAACGTAAATATTGAACTTTTTATATTCGAATGATTTTAAAACTAAAAAAAATTTCAAATACAATTATAGTTCGTTATTGAAATACATGAAAGTTTCGAAACTGTAATTCTGGGAATTGGAAGAAATGGACAATGAAAGACTTAATTAACTTTATAGATAAGAATTCTCACTAAAACTGTAGAAAATCCATCCCAACACCGTATTATTATGTCACTAAGTTATTTCTGTAGTAAATTCTATCAATTTGTAGAAAAATTCATCCTATCCACATAATATTCTCAATCAAAAATATTGACACAATAGAATGCCAAAACACTGTACCATATACAATAGGAGGATAAAACTATGAAGAATTAAAAGTTTATTGTCATTATTAATGGCTTCGGTACAATATAGAACTCTCAACACAAGGCATTTTAACAGTATAGTTAATAGACAAATGAAAAAGATTAATATTTAATGAAAGATACAGTTCAGTTAAAAATAAAACCAAGATAAATTGCTTCCAGTTGAATAGGTTATCTTACATATATGAAGAATATAATAGAAGACTTCAGCAGGGTATATAATGGTTTCTATTTTGAACCACAAGTGATAATGTCTTAATGTACTATTTATCATAATTTTTGGCATCGGATCCAGGTAGTCGTAATGAGCCAACAGATACCAGTTCTAAACAGCCATCGTTCGAAACACGGCATCATCCGAACACTTCTACTTTCCCATCCAGTCCCGAAATCAGTAGTTATTGTCGATTGGGAAGACTTTCGTAACTTGTATCCAAACCATCTAAGTCGGCATTTTAAGATTGTAATACTGACTGAATTATTATTAATATTAACATTATTATACTCTAACATATGACTTAAATAATTAATTAATTATAATTAATACTCTAATTGAATGTGAATAGTTTGTAATACTAACCCTTCCTTATGGTAAAGGTTTAAAAAATGTCTTTCTATACTTGTTAAGCATGTTTATTGCTAAGCTCAGCTGGTTTTACCTTGATAATTTTTTACAATTGAGACAAAGATTAATTTACTTGATATTGTTTTATTTGAATCTTCCCAGTGATGTTTTTAGGACTGAAGTTGATCAGTCTCTTATTGGCATATGTGCATACTGTGCGTATGCCTCGATATTGCCTTAATTTACAAACATTATAAGCAGAGATGGATAGTGGCTAGCAGTGGAATCCAGGACGGGCGTTTCGTCCTGTTTGGGACTCGTCAGCTGGATGTACCTGCATCTCAGAGTGTATAAACAGTGTATAAAAAAGTATCCTGTCTGTTAGTGAAAATGATATTGGCAAATGTGATTTGTCGCATGTAAACATTTTACTTCATTTACACTAACGTTATGAGTAATCAAGGTATGTTGTATAGCATATATATACTAGACAAATAAACAAGTCCATTAACAAAGTTGTCTGTAAATACATGTCTTTATAGTTACAGAATTATGGATAAAACTGTGAAACAGCGCTTGTAAGAAAAAAAAATTAATGTATAAAATTTTCACAGATTTAAATCATGAGTCAGTTGAAGCTAGACCACCATTGAAAACCTGGAAGCACTGGACGGCCGTTTCGTCCTAGTATGGGACTCCTCAGCAGTGCGCATCCACGATCCCGCACCACGCAGGGCTCGAACCCAGGACCCACTGGATTCGCGAGCGAATCAATACCCGAATCAATACATTTCTGTTCATAGTAAGTAATAGAAGAACAAAAATAATTCGTCAATGAAAGTTACAAAGAAAACTTAACGAACAAACTATCTAATTTAAAATAGTACATTTATTATTAATCAATAGGGTCAAAAATGTGACCTTAGCTCTATATAAATAAATATTTATAATTTGAATGAATCATCCAGTTGGATTGTTTAAAAAAAAAGGTTAAATTTATTCTATGATAAGCAGTAAACGGAACATTTTACTGTAGTATGTATGATACAGATGATAAAAGTTTTAAGGTTACATAAAATCGAGAGAATTGTTTACAGTTATGACTGACTTATTACAGAGCGGTAACCAATGCAATTCTGTCTCGTCTTCTGGCATTAATTGAATCCCATTGAACAAGTTACGATGATGTTACATCCCGATGAGAATAATGAATGGTAACTTTTGAAAACTATTTATGGACCAATATGATACACATATTTTTATTGTATAATTATTAAGTAGCTAAACTATACATATTCATGTTTGCCTTATTAAAAGCTCTATTTTGACCCACGGACTATTATTATACTATTTACCGTTCTTGAATTATACCCAGTGTATTAATTACGGTCTCCCACATTGACAGCCACATTTGGCTAAATCTTATATAAACGTTATTTTCTATTTTATGGTGCAATGTGGTCTGTTTGAAATACATGGTTCATATCACAGAGGCTGGGATTGGTGTTCTGGATTTAACAGGCAGTGTTAAGCAGGAAGAAGGACTGACAAGAACTCTAAACTGTTCGTACATGTTTACACGCCATTGATCCGGTCGATAAATCACTGTTCCCTAATT